ACTAGATGAGCTAATGGGGTCAATCAATCGTCATTTTGTAGAGCGTTTTTTACTGCATCTTTTCTTCATAGAGACAAATTTACAACCACTTGTTTCACTATAGAAAAATGTATTATTCAAATCGAGTCAGGCCTCCCTCTATATAACGTTAATAAAGGCGGAATAATGTTTAAAAATTATTGAAATCTAATAAATTTATCTCACCAAACAAATCTAATAAATCGTCTTTTGCTGTTGTTTATTTGCCTCTTCTTAATTGCGCTTTCGGTGTAGATGAATCTAAAAACACAGTCCAGAAGCAAACAGTTCTTACAAGTCCCTTTCTTCACGTCTTTACTACAAGACTTGAAAATGTTTTTCTCACATCAACTTACGCTTTCGAGCATGATTTTTTCGATCTGCTGTTTTGGACTTGGACTGGTTCTTACTACGCGCGCAGCACAGTGGGCAACTTTCGGTAGAGCAGGCGGACATGTACGAAAAACAGATTTTTTTATTAGATAACAAATGATAGAAACTTCCGGTTTTCAGCAATCGGAAAAGGACACTTGAGACTATACTTCCATAAGCAAAAATAGTTGTTGAAAGCATTTCCGAAGCCGGTTTTTCAGCGGATCTTTGGAAAACCAGTTTGGATCTCTAAAAAACTGACGTAGAAATAGGTCGATTTTTTTTCATAGATAAATAGTCAAAAGTGTTCTCTACAAAACTAGATCTAAGCAACATCTTGGAAATCCGTGGTTCGGGAGCTATGGATATTTTTCCCGCAGCCTTAGGACTCCTCTGCTGTAAGGTCTCGGACTCTCAGAAATGAGTGAAAACGTAGGTTATCGACCACGCTGAATCTCGTGGCAATGTTAGTTTTCAGGATAAAATGCAACAACCGAGTGAAAACCTATATTAGGTGAAATAAACCATTTTTGGCTATTTTCATCAAAAATTAAAAAATTCATAACTCAATCAAAATACATCCAAGCTACTTCAGAATATCAAGATATACTCTTTTTATCTGATCAATGTCCGGTGTCAATGAGCTATTTTTGAAACTTTCAGATTGAGAAACGACTTAATTACAAGCAGTCTAATATTACAATACAAAAATTCTAAATTCTAAACACAGATTTTTTTGCTGTAAATCACCTCTTCTCGCGTTTTTGCTACCGAAGAAGATTTGAAGTTTCAAAAATAAGTCTTTTTGTAGAGAAAAGAACGCTCTATTTGGTGGTATGCTTCCACAAAAGATGTGTCGTATTTTGAAACCCGTAGGTTTTCTAGAAAACCAAAAGCTTTCGGACTTCCGTAAGTAAGATTTTTCATGATTTAATATAATCTCTCCGATTTCAGTCATTCATTCTGAACTAAGAATTATTATGAGTCATTTATTTCCGATAACAGTTATTTAGTAGGATAAATGCATCTTTTATTTTTTTGTCAATACTAAAAGTGTAAAAAGAGAAAGAGACCTTAATATATATACACTTCATATGCAAAAATGTGGCGAGTTATTTTTGTAAAAATACACTATGTAGTATCTGATCATCTTCGTTTAATGGTTGTAATGTAGTCGTTTGTGCTTGTGAATGTATTTGGCGTTTTGTAAATGCATCGGTAATTATTTTTCTTATGGCTGGATCGGAACGAATAAAAAGTCGATTAAAGACATCTGTCAGATTCATTATATGTCCACATTTCCTTGATAAAAATTCACGAAAGTTGCGAACATCTTTATTACAGCTCTCAAGAGCCTCTTCTGATAATTCTCCCAAAGCTATACCATGATTTCGTTCTATTAATTCCCATGAATGAAAAACTAACGAATGAACAGTCATAGTATAGTCAATCCATTTTTCATTTGCCAATAAGTTTTGAAATTCGATACTTAATTCTTTAAATTTAGGAACATGAATCGATTTCGTTGAAGAAACAGCTCTCAAGATAATAGAATAAAGTTGAATTAATTTTTGAAGTGTTTTACGATGCTGCGATGGAACACAAGATACTAAGACATCTCGAACTGCATATGAAAAAAATTTTCGTCCTTCTCCACCTGTGGTGCTTGTACCACCAGTTGTACATGACTTAGAATTACATTGATTCAAACGTAAACCAGTTTTAGTTTGAATAGTTTCTATGATTGTGTTTTTTTCTTTTTCAATACGTTCTTGTTTATCTTTTCCAAGAACTATCCACCATAATATATCGGCACGCATATGAGACATGATCCTTAGAAACCAGGACGTGCCATTAATATACTGATGAGTGATAGTGATAAAATGTTGATCGTTTGTTGAGACCGGCTCAGATGTTAAACCTGCTCGAGTACCATAATCATTTTTACGTTTTAAAATATTGTCATCATTATCAACTAATTGATAATATAATTCAAGGGTCTTTTCTGCTGTTCGATTAATATTGAAAAAATCAGGATCTGAAATCTTTTTTGTATCTTTCCAATCTTCTTGTTTTGTGCTACACATTAAACATTCAGCACCTCCTAAACCTGATTCAGCCATTCTAACCTTCATGTCCTTCATGCTCGCTTCTATTTTAATTTTGACACTATATGTTTCGTTTTTATATTGAAATGTTAATCCATTTTCTTCTAAACTTTTTTCTTCATACTCGAATTTTTCATTTACAAAACGAAGTAATTCATGATTTTCTTTTTCAGCAATTAGCAGTAATGGTCGAGTATAAAAAGCACTGTTCGGTGATAGATTGTGCCATAAAATTGTATCTGTTTTTTCATCTTTCAGTGATAATGGTACAAACATTTTACAAAAAATATTTGGATCACACATTGAATTTTCATTTGACCTGTAAATAGGCATTGAACCAGCACCATCATGTCCAGTTTTCTCACGATACAACAAATTATTCGGCACATTGATATTTTCTGAATGTAAAGCATCAATTAATCGTTGAATTGTCAGCTGTATTGGTTCTTTACGATCCTCTACACAAATACCTTTATCATTGCGACAACTTTTGAGAGATGGAATTAAATTATCAGTA